ATCGGCGACTCAGCCTCGTCTCTTCATTAAAATGGCAAACGTGACACGAATGACTGTCGTTAGACGGCAGATATAACATCCTTCTCAAGGTTAATATTTGCTCTCTGGGACAATGGCAAAGTGATGCTCAGTGTGTCCATGGTAAGGACCTGGTGCTGGAAAGGCACCACCTGAGAGGACACCCAGTACCTGCAGAAGGGACCTTGCTGGGGTACCCACCTTGGCAGGGAGGTGTCTCCTCTTCCAGAATAAAGAGGTTTGAAAGGCTGATACCTGCTAAATTTAACTTATGGACTGACGGGGTGACTGCCAGTCAGCTCTAGCTGCGGATGATACTTTCATCTCAGCAATTTGAATTGCAAAATGTGTTTTCTTAACATTTTTCCCCCTTTTGTATCCAGCATGTTTGTCAGTTTTTATGTAACAAAAACTATTTTAAAATGCTGGGTTTGAGTAGTTTAGCTGAAATCCACTTTGCAGCTAAATGGACTTTCTGCAGAAAAATCCCATCATTTAGCACAGAAGAACCGTGCTCTTCAAAATTCTCTGCAAAAAGAAAGAAATGTGGAAGTTGTGCCTCCTAAAACATGTTAACCTATATTCTTGCTTAAATAACTGTATAAGAAATACATCCTCTGATTAGTTTTTTTTAAAAAAATCACATTCAAAGTAAAGATTTTATCTGGTTGCAAATGAAAGTATTTCATTATTTTAATACCAACCAACAAGAGCTAACAAGAACCATTTCTCTGGGAAATAAAACTGCAGATGTAAAATAATATTAAAGCTAATTATTTAAATCAATTTGTTCTCTTGGAGCATGTCATCATTTTGAGTTACTCATGTTGAAATCCTTTATAAGATCAGCAATATTAGGGCTTCACTGCCCCTAACAATGGGCCCATCAGCAGGGTCCAGCTTCCATCCATCCATCCCACGCACAGACCAGGATTCCCGTGTATTTCATGAGTTTACTCCATTTCTTACATGCATATGTGAAAACAGCTCTTGGATTTTAATTTTGATACATAAGCACACATATGAAAGTGTCCATCATTTATGCAGGGACAGCACCTTAAATTCAGATGCTGCTGTAGATTTGGTCACTCGAAGCGTACGGAGCTGCAGTGACCTTCAGCAGCTGGAGGTCTGGCCCTAAGCAGCCTGCACATTTCTAATACACTTTTGGTGTCCCAGGGCAGGAAAGAAAATGCAATATTTGTTTGTGCCACCATTGTCTACCAGCAGTTTCCACAAGGAACTTTTCAGCGGATACACTTGTTTTCTGCTGGACTGTGTTGACAGAAAACAGAAAAGCTTTTTATCCCCTTGGAAGTGTTCCTGGGCATGAGTTACACCATTTAAACACTCTTTTCTTTGCCACTAATATAAAAAAGCTGAGGGAAATGAAAATATTCAAAATAACACAGCAAAGCAGGGATAGGTGACTTGCTGAATATAAAACCAAATTGTCCATGCCAAGGAGAACGCTGGAAACATCTGGGAGAAAAGCAGCAGCACAGGCCATGGGGTGAGCAGAAGAACCAAATAATTCATCAAGATGCTGCAGCAAAGCAACCACTTCCATAATTCAACAGGGCAGCAAGCAACCTGGATGAGGAGCCAGAGGCCCAAAAGCCATCTGAATGAGGCTGTAAGAACCCAAGGTTATCTATTATTCCAGTTTATTTCAGCTGTCGGTGAGGAACATGGTCCTCAAACCAGGCACAGCCAGGCAGTCATGTCCTCACAGCTTTCCTGGCCCGATACTGCTTCACAATAGTAAATTTATCATTCCTTCTCCGAAAGAACAAATGTTTTATTAATGTTCAACTGTAATCATAATGAAGGAGCAGAGCGTCTTAATTAAGCCATTAGTGGCTGTTACGAGTCTATATTTTGTTCTATAAACCCAAAAGAATAAATAATATTAATACTATTAAAAATGTGTAACTTTTTTTTCCCCCTATTTTCTGTAAAGTACCTCAAGAAATTACATGAAAAATAAATTACATGTGGGGTCCTTTGGAGCCGTAACAGAAAGCACCGAAGCACCAAACTTGCTGCTCCCCCTCCCAAGGTGTTGACCCCACCACAGACCCCATCAGCACCAAACCACGCCTGGAAATAGCAACCCAGAGCCTTGGGAGCAGAAAGCATCAACCAGCAGCTCGCAGAGAAAACCAAACCACCCGTGTGGGATCGGCAAGAGCCGTGCCACTCCGTGTGCAGCAGGGTTTGATCCGGTCGGTCTGCAGAGCCTCTGGCAGTACGGAGCATCCCAAGGGGAATTTAACTGTTGGGCAGCAGGTCAGCTTTTCTTTGCCACTGGAGAGTTGTGATCCTTCACAGATACCTTAGAGCAGTCTCTGGAGACTCCATGCATGGAAACGACTGGCCAGCAATCGCAAAGAAACCTTATGAAAAAGAGCAGAGGAGGAGCAAGCCTTCAAAGATTTCAGGTCTGTTAACAACTTTAAGATTTCTTTCTGCTCACCATACAGCTGCCTGAAAAAGCTGGACACAACGGAGCATCACTGGGAGTTTATCCTTTCATATATAAAATCTCTCCATAGCTGCCCGCTCAATCACAAGGCAAGAAAACAACAGGTACATTCAACTTTAATGAAAGAATCGTCAGTTATACGTACAGCCATAACTGAGGGGAAAAACAGCTACAGAAAGGATGCAAACACAACCCTGGACGTGGAGCAACAGTCGCAGGGTCTGGGCTGGACCAAAGCATTTCTGCCATTCTCCTCCTCTTTTGAAGATGTGTTTTGCCTAAAAGGCAATATTGAAATACATTAAATCCTCCCAAAACTGCTTAGTGGGCTGACAGGAGATGACAGCCAGGCCCTGCCAGGTCATTTTGCATTTCTTTACTAGAGCCTGGACATCCTCCTCCACAGCTGACACCAGCAGGGCCCCACAGAGATGCTGCGGCTCTTTGCTCAGCACTGACCTGCTGCGGTGCCCAGCGATCCTGTGCAATCCCATAAGCAACCTCCAGCACCAGTATGGCTCTTCTTGGGGTGCTGCAGCAGCTCCGAAGGTACATATGAAAGTCCTTAAAAAGTCCCTTTCAAAACTATGGCAAATTACCTGGAAGGACCAGTATGAAGTACAAAGCCATTAAAATTGTACACACTGAATTATCGATATCTGATAACTTATTAAATAAATTCACAGAAAAAGAAGACTTTTTTTTTTTTAACATCCTCTGATTTTAAGTTTTAACTTGCACAGAAACAAGCTGCTCAGAGTCCTCTCATAACAACGGAGATGCTTTATCAAAGTTTAAAACGCGGCTGTGCACCAGGCAGTAGGAAAGTTTACAGCCCTTGGATTTTTAACAGGAATCCAAATCCTACGCTGGGAAGGGAAATCTCAGCGCACCGCCTGTGGTCAGCACACAACTGCCAAGCGAGGCTGCTATTTCTGTAGCGGCTGAGAAATACGCAGGAGGATTTTCTCAGAAGAACAGGCTGACTCGCAGGCAGCTGTACGTACATCCCAGCCGCGCAGATGCAATCCCAACTCACTACAAGGTCCCTTTCTCTTGGAGAGCTGGTAGGTAGAGGTGATGCTCACACACCCACGCTACGCTGGTGCAGATCCACTCAGAGCAGGGCAGCCTGTGGGTTTTGACAGCAATTGGCCTGTCTGGGCATTTTACAGCTATGTCCCCAGTCCCTCACGTCTGGATTTTTTCCCTGAGGACTTTGGTAAGATCCCTCCAGCATGTTTCAGAGCAAGCTCTGTGGTGTGCCAGAGCCAGCCACAGCGAGTTGGGTGTAATGCACATTTCCCAAGGGATGCTCGGGCTTGCTGGAGCCAGGCAGGCTTTGCAGCGAGGCGGGAGCTGTGTGGGATGGGCTGTCGCTGGCACCCAGGGACGTGGCAGTGCTCTGACCAAATCTCCTCCCCGCTTAAAGCAATTCCAGCGCCGCAGCAAATCGCAGCCACCCAAACTATGTCAACACCGAGGCAATAGTTGACTGCTAACACACATGCAGCTCACTGCTATTTATATCACATGCCATACATCAAAAATACGTGACATCCGAGGACAGCTTCACCATGACATCGTGATTCAGATGGAGGAAGGCAAAGGAAGGAGAGGAACTGCTCACAGTGGCCACGCTCCCCCCCAGGCCGCGGCGCCAGCCCGCGCCGCCGATGCCACGGGGAATTCTGCCCGTTGAGCTTAACGGTGCAAGAACAGGCTGCCGGCAAACGAAGCGATGTTGTTTTCTTGGCATTTGCGCAGCCTGGGGTCAGCAAGGCGAGCTGCTGATGCTGTGTTTTAACGTGTCTGGAAATGCACAGGCTGCTTGTGACAGGGGAAGAGGCCAAATGAAAAACGCCACTCGCTGCAGCCATCCGGCTTCACGCGATGCGACAGCAGGGCTGACCATGGATTTTGGCATCTGTACATAGCGAGTACCTGTTTGCAATGGTAAATGCTGGCCTGAGCCTGTCTGGCATCGACATCTTCACGCCAACACTGCAGTCACTACACCCTCCCTCATCTCCGCCAAACCCCAGGACAAACCTCCAGCCGTGTCTGACGTGTCCCGAATCCAGCCCAGCAGCGGGTCGGGCGCTCGCTGCCTCTCAGTACCTTTTGCTAAATACAGGGTACATACAGATCTATAGCATAAACAACAGAGAAACCCGGCATGGATGGCAGCAGAAACACGGCCTCGACATAAAGATGCCAATAAATGAAAATACAGTCGCTGCAACACCTTCATTTTTCTGCAGCTACGGTCGATGGTGCTGTCTGAAGCCCCAGCCCCAGGGGACACGCTGTCCGTAGCAGGGTCTGCCCCACGTCCCAGGATCCGTTTCACATAGACACACAACTGAACAGGCATGCAGAAATAACTACACCTCGGCCCCGGGAGCCCTTCGAGCTCTCTCTCTCTCTCTCCCAGGTCAAATAGAGCTTTAAATCCCTCCCTGTACTCTTTGTTTTGGAGGCATGGCTGCCATCACAGAAAACTGTTGTGTTTGTTTTGTTCCAGGGCCATTTCACTGACCAGCTGCTCTATGGATGACTGAATGGCCGCCTTCACGAGGGAAGATGCGGTTTCTATGAGGAGCAATTCGTACTGCTCCCCAGTTCTGTGCCCCTGCTCGCCCAGACCTTTCTCCTCTGCCTCAGGACCACCGCCAGCCTCGGGACCCTCTTTTTTACCAAAATCAAAGCTCCCACTTGATTTTTTATTCCCTTTTTGCTTATTTCGGTGCAAAACCGGGGATGGCTCATAGGCTTGGTCAGAGTCGGTGTTGTCAGAGTCCTCGGCTTCGGTGACGGTGATGACGATGCCAATGCCGGTGCCCACGTTTGCTTCTAATGTCACCTGATGGCCGGAGCAGCCCTGCACGCTTGCTGCATCGTCTTGAAACGCCGCCTCAGTGGAATCCATGACAGTCTCTCCAGCTTTGCCCTCCTCGGGAAGATTTATACTCTTTTCCAATTCATCCCCTTCAGGCAGCTCTTTGCAGATATGAGAGATTTCCTGCAGCTCGCTGGTTTCAGGGGCACTGTTGGGTTGATCCTTGGAAACAGGCGCTTCGGGAGCAACCTCCCCACCTTCCACATGGGCTGTGGGTTGGGATAGGTTCCCCTCCTCCTGTTTTTCTTGGGCTGTTTCATTAACCGTCTCTGAATCGGTTATCTCCGACTGGGCAGTGCACTCCGTATGCTCCTCTGCATCAGGCGTGGGCTCTGCCAAGGGCTCGCTCTTCTCAACAGAGTTTGCACTTTCCTTCTCCGTATCCTGGTCCTCCTCCTCACAGACTGGGCTGAAGGATTCAGACTTGTCCGTTGGGGCCAAATCCTCTGGCTCTTCACTAGCTTTATTGACAATGCCCATCACTTCATTTGCTTGAACACTGCCCTCCGACTCCTCCACTGCTTCAGCAGGGACAGGTTTTTTCTTGCCTCTGGAGAACCGCACACAGGGCATCTTCACCCCGGAGCTTGCCCGTTTCTTTGGGAAGCCTTGCACAAAGCTCTCCTCAGCATCCATCTCCAGCTGCACTTGGGAATCAGAGGTCACCTTCTTCCGCGAGGCGGCTTTCTGCCGTCTCCGAGGTCGGGCAAGGTTCTTGATGGCAGCCCAGGCTCCTTTGGAGGATTGTGATGGATTAGAAACTTTCACCTCCCCTTGGTCAGCACTGATGTGTTGGCTTTTCTCCTCCGAGGCTCCTTCGCACGCATCCTTGACAGCCAGCCCCTTCTTACAGGGCCTCTTCCGCTTCTTAAAACAGAGCATGGAGGGTTTTTCTGCCTGTTCCTCTGACGTGGAGCACGTCGCCCCTGCGCCATGAGTCTCTACCTCTCCTGGGCTCTCCATTTGAATTTCCTTAGCTGCCTTTGCCATATTTGCTCCCCTCCTTCACCTGTGTTGTATTACTGATTTTCTTGATTAACACATCAGACACAAGAACTGCAGAGATGCTCAAAGTGCATTTTTTTTCATCAAATTGTTTTCAAAATAGCATTAGTTGCTTTTTAACGAGCGGATGTGGCAGTGAAGAGAAGTTCTGCCAAAGCTATCACATCCGCTTTATAACTCCCACTTTGTCTTATTACTCACTTTATCACCTCTCCAAGGAATCCCGAGTAGACGTGAAGCTGAACAGGCTTCTCCTTGGCTTTGCTGGCCAGAGTCACTCTCATCTCCAGGATAAGCCACTTCAAGTTGGGCTTGGTCTAACAGCATGACTCTTTAATTGCCAGTCTCACATGGACTCTTTTTTTTTTTTTCCCCCAAAGGATGACAAATCAAGCCAAGAGTTAACAATTTTTATTCACCCCACGGACCTGGAAAGAACTTGCACTTCCTGAGCCATCTGCAATGCCACATCGCACACGGAGCTTGATTGAAGCACCAGTAAAACCAGCGGCAGCCAGTGGCTGTTTTCTGCCCCCCAGTGACAAGGTCAGATGCTGCTTTGTCTCAGCTTTGCCTTCTGCTTCAGTTCCCTTCCCAGGTTATGTGAGGTTCGCTGCGAAGCACGGCCAGCACTTCCATCTTTTATCTGTAACACAACAAACAAAGGAAAAGAGCTGTAGAGCATTTTGTTTTAAAAAAAGTATTTTAAAGTATATCTTTTTAAAATAATATTTCATTTTAGGGCTGGAAAAGCAGTTCTACCTCTGGATGCACCATAGCATGTTTTTCCACTAATTAGCATCCTATACCCAAAGGCAAAATAATTCCACCAAGATGTCAACCCAGTGATATTCCACTACAGAAAATACCAGTTTGCTATTTTGTGTGGTAAAAGGGGTTCGGGGTTTTTTTTAATTGCCCATATAATGGCAAATATCTATTACGCACACACACACATATATTTTCTTCTCCTACGGTTAGCTAAATCTCTTCCCTACTACTCCATATGCACTTACAGTTCCAGCTGGGAAATGACACCCTGAGACAGCAGGTATTTTTATCTTTAATGCACCATATGACAATATGCAAAAACACAGAATACAAAAAGGAGGCTTGTGGAATACAAAAGCGAAATCACATGGCAAGAAGGGAGCTTATTTATACTACGTGCATGCCTTCCATGGCAACCTCAATTAACACCGCATGTGTTCATCAGATTTATGATATTGTGAGATATATGTCACCCTTAAAAAAAAAAAAAAAAAAAAAGGCCGAAAAAAAAAAAAGGGGCCGCCTCAAAACATCAGCAGAACATTTTTGGATGGAAAGATGCAAAAAACGTGTTACTGCAAACAGACCAACTTCTCCGGGACCGGCTCCGTGACTCCAGGCAATCCTTCTCACGCTATTCTGGACTCTGCTTTTAAGGAGTAAGATGATGAAAACGGAGGTTTCGGCGGGGCGCGCTCCCCCGCAGAGCGGATTTGGGTAATTTTTTTTTTTTTAATTAAT